GGGGGAGGGGGGGAAGTAGAGCTATGTGTTTCGGGTGGAAGGCAGAGAGACATCGGTTTTTGTATGTGCAGAGCGATGGCTGTGTCCTACGCAATCTGTTCGTCGCGGCCGTCGGACCGAGGCCGTGTGTCTTTGGGGCGCAGGACAATGTGTGTTGTGGGGGGCTCAGAGCGATGTGTTTGTTGTCGCGGGAGAGAAGAGCGATGTGCTCGACAGCTCCGCAAAACCGTATGTGCGGTGCGTGTGTTGTGTGAGCAGAGGGATGTGCATTTCGTGGATCGCAAGCACGATTGGTACGTCGTGGAGCGATGGGTTTGTCAGACAGTGAAGAACGATGGAGGTGTCTTCGGAGCTGGGGGCGGTGTCTGTATCAGCGGGCGCTGAACTTTGTGTGTGATGTTGGACTCAGGACGCGGTGTGTGTTGGGGGAGGAGAGCGATGTGAGCTTCGGGAGGGGCAGAGCAGTGTCTGTGCCGGTGCGCAGAGAGATGTGTTACGGGACGGGGGGGAAGTGGGGCGGAGGGCACGGACACGCTGCCGCAGGACGGTGTGTGTTTCCGGAGGCGCAGAGAGTCGTACTACGGGCGATCAATCTGTCAGACCGTGCAGAGCGATGGGAGCGTCTTCGGAGCTCGTAGCGCCTGTGTACGGAAGGAGCAGAGCGATGTGAGTATCGGGCGCTGGGCGGTGTTTGAGCGTCGGGGAGCAGATCGTGTATCGTTGAGCCCATCGCGTTTTCAGAGTGGCAGAGCGACGCGAAGTGTCGTTAAGGCACAGAGCGATGTGTTCCGACCGGGGGAGGGAGGGCGGCCGACAGGCAGATTGATAAGTGTATCCGGAGTTGCAGAGCACTGTGTGTATCGGACGTAAACTTAATCTCGTTTCTGGAGCGCAGAGAGATGGTTTTCGGAGGGGGTATGGGGTGGTGAGCGACGCAGAACGATGGTTGCTTCAGGAGGTGCCGAGCGATACCTCTGGAAATGTGTGTGTCCTGGGGCGCGGAGTGATGTGTGTGTCCGCCGGGGAGGAGGTGGGATGGGTTTTGGGAAGGGTGGGTGAGGGGGAGCGACGCCGCTGCAGGACGATGTGTTTCGGAGGTGTTCCAACATCGCATAGCGATGGGACGGTCGTAGGATGGGCGATATGTTTGTCAGGCGGTGCAGAGCGGTGGGAGTGTCTTCGGGGAGCGATGTGTGTGACCGTCGGCACAGCCTGTGTAGGGGAGGAACGGAGAGATGTGTGTGTGTAATCGAGCTCTGAGCGGTATGTTTTCCCTGGGTAGCAGAGAGATGTGTCATTGGGCTTCAGCGCGTTGCCGTGTGTTAGATGTAGTTGGAGCGACGTGTGTGTTGTCAAGGCACGGAGCGATGTGTTGCGGGAACCAGTGGTGGGGGGTTGGAGGGCCAGACACGCAGAGCGATGAGGATCCCCAAATGCAGAGCTCTGTGTGTGTCGGGACCTAAGGGTAATGTGGTCCTGGGGGACGTAGAGCGATGTTGTTTGCGGGGTTTTTTTTTGGGGGGGTGAGGGGTGCAGAACGATGTGCATTCTGAGGAGGCGCCGAGCGATGGCTGTGGGTGGGGGAATGTGTGAATCGTGGGGGGCTGAGCGATGTGTTTCGAGAATGGGGATGAGGGAAGAGTGACGCCTCTGCAGGACGATGCGTATTTCTGGAGGCTCAGCGCGATTGAAGCGGTCGCACGACGGCGATGCGCTTGTCGGGTGGAGCACAGCAATACGCCTTCGGAGATCGAAGCGACGTGTGTGTCCGTCGGCGCAGAGCGACCTGTGTGCAGAGGGGGAGCGGAGCGATGCGGGCACCGCCGGCCGCGGAGCGATGTTTTTCGGGGGGAGGGGGCGACACGCAGAACGATTCGTTTTTCGCGAGGCGCGGAGAGGTGGGACTGTTGTAGGGCGGGCAGTGTGTGCGCCCTGGGGCGCGGAGCGATGGATGTATTTTTGGGGCGCCGGACGATGTGTGTTTTCGGGGGCCTAGAGAGATGTGCGTGTTGTCAAGGGAGGGGGAAGCGATGTGTTTGACATCTCTGCAAAACTGCAGAGCGATGGAAGTGTCTTCGGAGATCGGAGCGGTTACTGCTGGGCTCGGGAAGTCGTGTGTTTGTTGGGAGAAGAGAGCGATGTGTGATTCGGGAGGGGCAAAGCGCTGCCTGTGCCGGAGCGTAAGGAATGTGATTTGCGGAACTTAGAGCGATGTATTTCTCGGGAGGGGCGGATCGGCGGGGAGGGGGTGACTCGGTGCCATGTGTGTGTCGTAGACACTCTCTGTGTGTGTTTGCCTGCCGTTTTATGGTAAATGTATTATGAAACGTTAAAGAAGTGGAGGACGTGTACACGGAAAAAAAGTAGTGTATTGGAGCACAGCAGTGCGCTGTTGAGCGAAGGGGTCTCTAAAGACACTGTAACAAGTGCACCGTGTTGGGACTTCCGAGCACTTGGAAAGGGACACCAGGTCTTCTTTCTCCTGCTGCTTGACGAAGTGGGAGTGTATGCATTGTGCAACTTCAGGTAGACCTTGTTCTACCAGCTTCTCTTCGTGTTTCTTCGGTCGAACTTCCGCAAGCCGCCCCAGCAGAACGCCGGCACTGTTGCCTGTGCCCGGATTTTCGCGTCTCTCTATTTACGGAGCAGGTGTGCTGCCCGACCTGCCCGAGGCTCACTGGGCAGTGGGACCCAGCCTTTCTCAGCCTAAGCAAGGCGAGGTGGTGGCGGAGATGCCCATTGCCCCCAGCAGCAGGGCGGCTGCGCCCAGCGGAACGCGGCCACTCCTTGGTTCCGGCGTCGAGTCCCGCCGCGCTCTGCTCCCGACCCCGCTCCAGGCTCCTCTGCCAGCCCGGCCTTGAGATCGAGATGTTCATTACGTACACATATTCCTGTAACAAATTTGTATTCACCTAATTTGTCTATTCCTTCCCGGGAACATTTCTGCTGGGAGATTATTCAGCTTCTGCGTCCTGCACTGATGCCGGAAGCCCTTGAAAAAAGCTGTTGTGCTCATGGGTCTTCAGTTAACTCTCACCGGGCTTCAGTGGCGAGTGCGGGAACAAGAGGGTTGCGCACAGTCCCAGCCGTGTCCCGGGGCAGTTCCTCGCCCCAGTCGCCACATCTCACCTCGCTCTCCCCGTCCACAAGAGAACCGGCGCGGGGCCGGCAGCAATCCCGCCCCGCCTCGCCGCTGAGCCTCTGTCTCGACGGGGTGTCGAGGGAAAAGCGATGGTACGTGGAAATTCCATCGTGGCAAGGGGGTGTCTGCATAGCCAGCGCTCGGTGCAGCCCAGCACTAAGTCTTTCAGCAGTCCTGTCCCTCCTGGCAGCCTACACAAGGGGAAGACTAGTCGGTAGGAGCACCCGCTACCCCCTCCCGTCAATAGCACATACATAGGTTGGCAGAGAAGCCACCCCTCGTCTGATTAAGAGATACATAATTGTTATCACTAAATGATCTTTTGTGTTATCCTTAACTTCATACGGTTCCTTCGGAGTAGAATAGTTAACAACAACGGTGAGAACATCTTGGCAGGAAGTGGGGATGAAGTTCTTCTCAGTGGTTAGATACAGTCAGTGCCTTCTGTTCCCAAAACTAGGGCAACCATCACCGACATAAACAAATATTTTACCAAGCAACACTTTCGATCTGTGCCCTTAGGAAGTCTCATGGTTCCAGGATTATTTTATTTTATTTTTTGAGATAAAGTGAATCTAAATTAAAATGTCCTCCCCTTGGGGTTTTTGGCAGAAACGTGTCACATCTCTGCCAATTATCACCTGCCAAAATCTTCTCCCTAATAGATGCGGTTTGCATATTGGCTACGAGAGAAAACTAAGTGCCATGGAAAGAGAGTGAAAACAGCTTGAAATCAGCATCAGAAGGGGTGGGTAAAAAAAAAAAAAAAAAGCGTCAGGCAGTGTAAATCAGTTTTCCTTTGGGAATTACTTACCAAAATTCACCCAGCAGTTACAAGCAAAACGCAACAAAAACATCCAAGCAACAAAGGTTAATGTGATGTCTTTCTACACAGGAACTAAGTTGTACCTAGAGTTGTACTGAAAAAGCTAAACTCATTGCTCAGGGCGAGTCTAACAATGTGATGTGGAAGGACATGGAAATGCATCTAAGACAAAGAAAAAAGTTTGCACATCTAAAGACAGGGCTTTTAGCATCCTTTTGTTCTTGCAAAGGACTGTCCTTCCCCCAGTAACATCCCGCAGAGATATTCAGCCAGCCTGTCCCTAACCTTTATTGTTTCCATTCAGATCTTAAGGACGAACTGATTCCCTGGACACGGACATTTAGAAGGGGAGTTCTGGACGCTGGTTCCACATGATGGAAAATTCGACCCTGGGCCAGCAATGAAGAGCAGAAATTCACCACATTAACTGTACACAGGCAGATTTCACTGCAGTTGTGCTTGCACTTCTGCATCCAATGGGACTCTGTTCCCATAAGAAAAACATGCCTCTTGTTACTTGGATCTTCTTTCTCCTTTCTCTTTGTCAGCCTTGAAGGTGACTTTTGGAGTGTTTCTCAAGATTTTGCCCTCCCCCCCTTGGTTTTAACCTCTTGGGTTGCATTTAGGCTCAGGCTTTGCCTTGCATGCTGGGCCTGTCCATCTCTGACCCCACTGGCTGTACCTCCCTGGCTTGGCCTCATCCCAACCTGGTCCCTGCAGACTTGCTCAGTGATCCAGGCCTGTGGCTCTCACTGATCACTGTCACCATTCCTGCCTCATTTACCATGCGTGGGTGCTGTGGGGCTGTGGCCCAGCTGGTGACAGCATGGCCCTCTCTGCCCCACTGTCCCCCTTGTCTCCCAGCTCACCTGCCCTCGTGGGGCAGCCTGCTCCTGCTGCTTCCCCACAAACTGTATTGAATTTTTTTTGTCCACCTGGGAATGCATTTACTAAAGATAAATTAGATTTAATATACAATCCCCTTCCCTTTCCATTAGCCATAAATTATACATCTGCCCCCTCCTAATGTGTTAGTGATGGTAGCACATGTGAGGATTGAAGTAAAAATTCAGCCCCTTCCAAGGAGATCTTGAAACATCAGCCTTCACTGTTGGTCCTACACAGATAATTTTTTCTAGCTCAACACACCATCAACTTCTCAAATACCTGATGCCGGGATAATATCAGGGTAGAATCTCCTTCATTTCTATAAAGATAACCTATTGCTGATCCAGAGTGACAGAGTTCAATATTGAATGTGCTTCTGTGAATATTGGTTTCAAAGTGTAATAGGTGTCAACAACAGTGGTCATCGGCCTGTTCTGTCTTTCTTTCATCTTTCCTTCTGTTCTTTTACATCCATCTCACCCTCCTGACAGTATCTCCTCTTTGTTATTCCCCTTGTTCCCAGGAAGTTGCTACATACCAGCACTCTCCCATCCCTACTCCTTCTCCCAGGGAAGGAGCATTTCTATCTTACAGCATGCAAGCAACGCCTATCATTACTGAAGACATACCATCCACCTTTGCCTCATCAAATGTCCCAAGTCCTGATTTGTGGCATTGGATTGTCATTCTGACCTGTATCAGCTCAGCCAAGGAATGTGCAGAACATTGCTATGGTTGGGACTAGACATACAGGAGAATCTTGTGTTGGGTACTTTTAAGCACCACAGAAGACAGACTGTCTCTTTGTCCAACTGAATAGAGAATAGTTAGCACCCTCACTATTTTGCTTCAGTTTTCTCTGTGTATTCAGGCA